TATCGGATGATCCGGTGGAAGCGGGGGAAATGATCGCCACTGCGGGGGAGGGAAGCGAGGTAATCGCGATAGAAGAAGGAGAGGGTGCGGAAAAGCGCCGCTCGAAAGATCTCGAAGTGGCGACAGGCGGGGATTGTCCCCGTGGCAACGCAGTAGACTTCTACGACGTTGGATCGCTCCCATGCAGCACTGAGCAGCAGGAGATGTCAGTAGAGTGTGGGAGGAGCGGACTGAAGGGAGGCGTGAGGATGGACGGTGGCGAGTAGACGGGTAGAATAGAAGTCGCGGAAGAGATGGGGATGGAAAGGATGGGAAGGGAAGGTGACGGGGGTACAGATCTGTTCGAAGGTGAGAAAATCAAGGGGTCGGAAGGGCAGCGTCCGAGGTCGAAGGCCTATCGCCCGCATTGGTATGTGGGCAAACTGGGGGACGGGTGGGGCTGGAGGAGGAGGGGGATCGGCGCCGTCTCCGTCGCGCGGTACTTGAGGTGGCGGCTGTAGGGTCGTCATCTTCGGGCCTCGGCGGCTCTGGATCCCTGGTCAGACCGCTAGCGATGCGCAGGCTAGCCTCGCTAGCGAACACCAGCTGGCGCTTTCCGGAGGTAATCTCTTCGCGCCTTCGCGCCACTTCCGGATCTTCCGCCTCCATTCCCGTACGCGTCGCTTCCTCCAAGGGGCTTCCTTCTCGGATCTGATTCCTTCTTCTTCCTTTTCCTCCTCACTTAGCTCGCCCTCGCTATGTTCACTATAGCTTCCCTCCTTCGATGTTTCCTCGTCGTTGTCTTCTTCTTCATCGTCATCGTTGATCACCACTTCCTCTGCCCTCAGATAGAAGGCGTAAGGGATGATCTCGTACGGCTTCAGATACTCTTGCCGCGATGGTAGGGTATCCTCGTCCCTAGGTTCCTCCAAGCACGAAGTCCACTGAAGGTACGGATCCAAGGATCGCTCGAAAATGTACGGAGCAGGACTGTTGTCGCTCTGAAAGTAGATCTTGGGCGAAAGATCGTCCGCCAATTGCACGATCGGTGCGATGAGCTCCTGCGCAATCAACTGACGACGACCCGGTCGTACCGATCCAAAGAGGAATCCAGTACGATCTCCTTCAGCGTTAGTCCTCCAACCCTGTATGATCAGTAGCTCCGGATTCTCGATCCACGTGGGGTGCTCGATAGTGCCCGTCCACTTCACTTGTACTCTGGCCAAGCAAAAGGACAGCTCCTCAAAAGTTTCGCGCCACAATCGCCAATGTCCACGATGGATAAGAGGGACTGAAAGAGGCTCGAACGAGAAGGAAAGAGAAGGGTGAAGATCAGATTGCCCGAAGGTGGGGAAGAGAGAGGGGAGACCAAAGGTAGAGAGAGGAGCGAGAAGAGCGTGGTTCATTGGGGACGTGGGAAGGGGACGATGGTCGGGATCGCAACTAGCCGCTCGCGCGGTGATCGACAAATACCGCCAAGATCCGATGCAAAGATCGGGATGATGTTATACCCCTCCCGGGCGAGGACGTGCTGCCACACGTTGGACACTTGCTCCGTCCACTCGCGCAGCAAGGCCAAGATCGCAGTATGCCGCAGCGGATTGACCGAGCTGAGGTCGCCAGTGAATCCCGTCATTGTGGTGACGTGGCTCGTTCTGGGACCCGCTCGCCGATGAACTGTCGTAACCTCCGCAAACACTATTGCGTGAGGGCTTCCTTCTATCCGAAACGCGGCGGCGGCACAGATACCTTCGTCGAAGAAGAATCGCATCAAACGACGGAGATCCGTATGGAGCCCAGAGTGACAAACTTGCCGGATCTCTGAGATGTGGCCACGTGGCTGCCGCAGCTGTGCGTCGAGAACCCGCTCCGT